GGATTAAAACAACGAGTAAACTGATTTTTTCGTAAATCCACGTGCATTGAACACATTATATATGCAGACAATGAGAGTCTTTTTTGTTGGTGAAAATATTYTAATCTTTAACATGAGTGCAAAATGCCTTTCGTTCAATCCCCAGGTAGACGTGTTCAATCTAACATATTTAAAAAGAGAAAATACTCCTTACCGACTGACATTGACAGCAATAAGTTGTTGTGGAATTATACGAAAAGGGAGGCCAAATCCTGTGGAAAAGGAAATCGATCAGCRAATCATTGTGCTGGTAAAGAAGAAAATGCTTAAGAGTAAATTAAGAGCAATTGCAGAGGACAGAGGCTATTCTCACTGGTACTGAAATTTTAACAATAGTCAATTCTAGAATTGGTTGTTTTCATATGATGATACTTGTTAGTTGGACGCATGGCATAAAGGTACACAATTTTCCCCGATAAGGGCCGTGTACTGCACAAAAATGGTCGTAATGAACCAGAAAATATTTGCGGTCTTGGGAAAGGGTGCACCCTCCATCTTRATCCACTCTTCTGTTGGCTATTTTCTAGTGCAAGGTTTACCTTTACTATCTTGGCGACAAACTTTCTGTACATATTCTCTTTCCTCTGCGATCTAAATAAAATCCAGAAGACAAAATACCATCAATGTAATGTTTCGTGTCTTTCAGTGTCATGTGCAACCTATGTCATATGTGAGTATCACAAAATATTGAAGTATAAATCTTCTATCTCATCGAAAGTTCCGCTATAAATAATAAACTTTTTAGGACGGGCGGATTCAAGGGGAGGGGAAAGGGCGGATTCAAGGGGAGGGGAAAGGGCGGATTCAAGGGGAGGGGAAAAGGAAATTTAAACAAAGGTGCGAAATTTCACAGGAAAGGTGTCAATATGGCACAGGAAACCCATAGTTAAATTCGGACTTTTTWAAAATAACTTGGTYAATTCTTTCTTTTGAAAGAAAATCCAGCGACTCTTGACTTTACATGAATCGYACAAATCAACAACAAAGTACTTGGCTCATAATTTACATATGATCAACTCTAGCTGTGCCTGTTCCAGTGTAGTCTCCTCTMGCAGCCGTTAGGACGTTCGTTCCCAGGTCACTCCCCCCTAACGGGACTAGTTCCATYCYATTAGTATTCCTGGTTGTCTATCAAAATAAGTTAACACTTTGATAGTCGTATTTTGGCTGCAAGAGTGTTTACTACAAACTCACATGTTTTCTAATTTCATCTTGATTTCATTTGGACTTGACGCACAAAATCAGTTTTTTTGTTTGAATTCTCAGTGTAGAGTAACGAGGTTACACAGCTATGCAGAACATCCATAATTTCAATCATACCTGTTTGTCAAGAACATTCTTTATCAAGGTACAGTACAATCTCAGGTTGACGCATTCCGCACGGTATATTCTAATAAAGTAGTCTGCAGTGAAGTCAAATCGTGGACGCATTGCCATGATATTCGTCATCACCTACAAGGAAAATATTTTTTTGACACGTCCCTCAGTATAGATAATATAACAATAATTCAAAAACTCATACTTAATAAATGTCTCTGATAAAACACTCCTTATTAGTATTCTTTATATAAAGAATTTTAATAAAATAAAGAATACTAATAAGGGTGACCTTTATCAGATATAAAGGTCCATGACCCTAGCAAAGGTCTCAGGCTTGATACCTGATCATTGACCAATACAGGATGTCAATCGATTGCAGTAAACAGCCAACAGCGGTTCTATTTACAGCCGTTACGGATGACACGTAGGGAGTCGAACGAAAAATCCTACTGGATTCATGCATTTTACAGATGTCAATCATAGACATTTCCATGACTATCCATGTGAACATGCTACTTACTCGCGGTTTGCACATGACGTCATAGCTATATATAAAACTACCATAGCAAACTTCTTCCTTAAATTTCGGATAGTCCTTGTTCATGCGCGACAATGTGTTTTTTCTTCCTCAACGAAGATCAAAGTCACCACGTGACTAAAAGTGACTGAAGTAACATGGCATGCTATTTCATTTACTACATTTATTACTCCATCTCAGACCACRTATATATACAATTCTATTTCAGTTTAATTTTGTGCATATCAAAGAAGGAATAACTGTTCGAATAAAAATCTTGATCATTGAATTGAAAAATCTGAATGAAACAATTTTTATTTCTTGTGACAACTTGTACAACGTGAGTAAAATTTTAAATTTTGAGTTTTAAATCTGACAATGGATTTTTGCGTTGCTCGTACGTCATGCCATATTTGGAATATGAAATTTGCCAGTCGAGTGCAAAATATATAAAGTCCAGCGTAAACATTGCTTTGATAATTGTAAAATTTGATAATTGAAAATTTAGAATTCAACTGTGGAATACAGAATTTGTGGCTGAAAAAACGGAACGACGAATGTAATTTTTATAACATGGATTTTGGCGGGGCATAGAATTTTGCTGTGTTGACGATGCGACTKCGCCTCCTATAATCAGCCAATCACGTTCCTTTCCAGAAATAACTCAAAGTTCAAAAATCGAATGAGCAGTTTCCATGAAGTCTGCAAAGCCAAGTACTTGGGATAGGTTCTCGGTTTTCCGTGGTTCTGAATGATGTTAAGCAAATAAATAAAAGTACATGTAAACAAACCTGTGCTAGCTTGATTTTCKCTTTGGAGTCAAATACATGTTGATAGCCCTCAAAGTAGCAATCAAACAGCTGAAAAATATAATCAGTTTCATTAAAATCACAAAGAATGTTCGGATACGGAAAATGATATTGATTTAAAGGATCTTTTTACGTTTTTCAGAGCTTAAATATGGGGACATATGTGTAGCAATGAGAAAAAAAGTTTTTTTACTGACAGAAAAAATAAACGTGAGAACAATAGCGCGCAAGCTTTMTTTTCACACAATCACGAACCGTGACAAAATTCGACGTGAAAAGGTTTGTGTTSTCGAATATCCATTTAATCAAGAATACAGTAATAATTTTTTTGAGAAAACAATGTGTGAATCTGTCATAAGTATACCCGTAAAAAAACCCTCTGTACTATTCGGTATGGTAATCATTATTAGTATTACCATATTAGTGGACTATTGGATATCCTTTGTTCTGATTWGCTACGCTACTCGGGGTGTATTTTCAATAGTCCTCGGCGTGTGAAAAGCGCCAAAAAATTGCGGGTAAAAACATGTATGCTAACACAAACCAGCTTTCACCAGCCAGTAGCAAATTAATTTTCACGTGTCAAACATGCCAAGCCAAGGTGGCAAACRAAGCGGCGATAATTTATGCAAATTCAATTGAGCCTGTAAGCGCGAAGTTTTAGCAATAAAWTTTTTTTGTTATTTATATATTTCATTTATTTTTTTGTCCAACTAGTATGGTAATATTAAAACAAATAGGCCTCTCGCCTCGTGGGCCACGAACTGATAGCCCATTCGGCCTTCTATYGTCTCGTAGTCCACTCGCCCTCGAGGTCTAATAGGTCGTTTGCATTATGGCGTAACTTTACTACAACTACAAGAGAGCCTTGCTCATTTTCATTGTCATTCAAATTTTTAATCCCCTTGGAGATTAATAAAACAATTGRCACTAATTGCATTACAAAAAAAAGTTAGCAAAGCATTCTGGTAGTTGTAGCAAATGACACCATAATGCACATCGGCTATTGTTAACTATTTCCCACTTTCCTCTATTCCATGTATATGCATTAAAATAATGGACTACTTTGTCCTTCTATTAGACTATACCTGTCTCTTATTCTCTAGGTATGCTGCTTCATTAGTCCAGAGGTCAAGTAAAATTGCAAATCGATCAACTTGTTGATGACCATACGCCGAAAGATCAATCTGATCACCAAGAAACTGATAAAAATGGACAAATTCTAAGCAGATCACGTTTTTAAATGGCACAAGGGAGAGTGCAGATTTACCTTTGACTGTTTGGGAAGTGCATATTCTTTGTCTTTGGCAATGTAATGGGAGGCAACCAGTAGAAGTTCCTTTTCTAGATCTCTGTTGAATTGTAAAGAAAGAAAAAAAGATTAGTATATTTTTACAAGATTTTACCTGTGATTAGATTTAGTATATTTTATATTTTTCTGAGTATATTTCTTTATATGTTTATACTGGATATAGTGTGCACAAGTCTTAAAAGATCAATTTCAAAATTACCGAAAGTCTTTCATTGCGGTGTCATACATGACATAATAGCCACGCTGGTCCTGGGTATGAACACGACCTTCTTCTGTAGTGTAAAAATCATCATGGTTTTCAACCTGTAAACGAATTTTTGGCACCGCTTATTAGTATATGATATGTACCTATTTCAAGAAAAGATTTTAAGCTTTTGTAGAGACGTTCGAAGCGATTTGATGGTATGGCGAGGTACGTATTTGTTGTTTGGCCGACCGCCATTTTCTGTAGTGTGATACATGTTCCATGTTCGTGTGGTGTGGTGTTTTTCACGAGAACTGTGATTGTAATCTAGGATAACATGAATTCCAGAGCTGTCTTTATTCGTATTTGAAACAATAAGAGCATCTTAAYAGCCTTTTTTACGTCGATAAAGAATTTTCAAAGCGATAACAATGAATTACACACTTTATCCGTGTTGAAGTCGTAATGCGGGGCGGGCAATTGTCAAACGGCGATTGCACGACCGAATGAAGCACGGTTTTTGCTAATGGATGGAAAATAATTAAAAAAATGACTTATACTATAAGATAGTCTGTAGCAATAGTCGGTTCAATTAAGACTCCATTTCAATAAGCAAGGTTAACCCAGCAAGTGTTAAATAGAGCAAYCATAGTCTCAAAGGTCATGAAATCACCGTTCGCCGATTGSTGAATGAAGAATTACCTCTGAAAACTCCATAAACTGAGCTTGCTCTATTCTATATAACATTAAAGGACAAAGGAAGTAATTGATCACAGCGTTAARACAAAAGTATTATAAAAATGCAACATATACAGGTACGTAGGGTTTAACCGCAAGGATGGGTTTTGCACTCAAAATAATAAACCAGCCACACGTTATTATCATCACCCGTCGTTTTTGAATCTATAGCGAAGTTTTATTTTTACTACAAAACCAGGTAATTCAACCTAAGGTCGTGAGGACAAGGTTTTCTAAGTTATATCTGTGATACTTGATAAGCAGCCTATTAATAGGAAATTGTTATGCAAACCTATAATCAGCAGGTGTGTTGTGKACGTACTCATGGCTACCAATGCCCATTATACCACCACCGTGAAACACTTGATGCCTTGTGAAAATAATAACACGTTATTCATACACAAAATCACATACATTACAAGTACGTGGGTTGCTTAGATCTTTCACAGGTATTCACGATCTCTAGCTTTTGACTGCAAGGTGATGAATAATGATGAGCTAGATATTTTAATAAATACCATAATAGTCTCMTTCACGGTTACGTGCGCCATCTTGAAAGGTAGCCGTGCCTTGGCATAGAAGCGAGACAACCGTTGAGCGTGCAATGATAGATACCTGTGAATAATTGTCTGCAGGTGTGAAAGAAGGTTTMTATCATTGCACGCTCAACGGTCGTCTCGCTTCGATGCAAARGCACGGCTTAATTTCAAGATGGCGSAGGKAACYGTGAAGAAGACTATTATTACTGTACACGATTAAGAGAGCTAGGACCACATTGGGATAAACCTGTAATGATGTTTATGTTATTATCTAAAACATAAATGCAAGACATACTTGGACGCCCTTTGYTTTCCACCTTCAAGGGAAAGTCCACCATTATTGATAGTTAGTGTTCTTTCCACAGAACGAAAATAATTCAGAATACCAAGGCACTGCGGAAAGACAGACGAAATTACTACCGACTCCTATATTTAGCATATAATCAAGTACATCAACTTACTGTTCTCTGAAGATCACGCAGTCGTAAATGTCTAAGGAGCAAGAAAGACATATATGCACCTTGMAGCAAGTTGGCTTGCGTTTTAGCATCATTATCTTCTAAACCAAGTAGTTCTACGGCAGAGCCTARRTCRAACTCACCAGCGCTACCTCCCACACCTAATTCATCTTCGGGGACTTTTGAGTCAAACTCAAGCACATCATCTCTTGCTAAACTGCAAGGAATAAAGCTATTCACCTCAATGATGCCTTTCTAAGTTAAAATTGCGGAATTAAGAATATCAGTTCACTCGATGATGTAACGTAGCAAATTTACTCCAGATCTCCAATAAGCACTGAGCGCCTGTTTTAAAAAACACTGACCCAAATAGATATAAATAAAGACAAAAAGACAAAAGAAATTTTGATGAGCTCATTGGCAATTATGTTCAAGCTGAATAATAAGCTGAGCTTTGTAGGTTTTTTATTAAAATAATTCCTTATTATGTGTTCATAAAAATAATTCGGCACGAGTTCAAAACTCATCCAGACTACATAAAGACAACCATTAACGTTTCCCAGTTGTAAAGAGATAAGATAAAACAATGYCATTTCTTCGCACGCTTTTTGTCAACATCTTTCTTCATCTTTGTCTGACCTTTTCCCTTTGTTTTAGCTGACCATATTGCTCTTGAACTACTTTCGGTACATTGCTCAAATAGTAGAGAATGTTTTTTATCAAATTCAGAAATGGCTGTTCCGCAAAACGTGTTTTAACACGTTAAAAATTCTCGTGATGCAAACTTCACTTCGTTCGCCTCCATYGACTAAATTTTCCTTTCTTGCCTTGAAGTAGTATCAACAAGGACCAATTAGGTGCTGTGTTACATGTGCGCGCGTTGTGATTGSTTGTCTAAAAATAGATTATCGGGACATCTGATGGTGGCGATATTATAAGCGAGATGGACAYTTCTGGTTATGYACTTCTGGCCCCGCGGATGCGGCCGCAGCACCACGGGAGGAAGMCTTTGAGGCATAGGAGCGCCCCGAGCTCTTCTTAGGGGCACCTTGCGGAGGCTCTGGAGCCTTCTTTTTAGCAAGACCAATCTTACATTGACGAGTCCAATGTCCATTGACGTTACAGTTACTGCAATATGCTTCCGGGCAACGAATAGCGAAATGACTCCATTCTCCACAACGATTGCATATTAGATCAGGACAATTTTTCCYCGTGTGTCCATTCCTMTTGCAGAGGGAGCAGTGAGGATACTGGTTCTAGATCAACAAAACCTTCAACGGTGATCGACTCGGGAAGCTCAATGTCCTCTCTTAGAAAAATTGGAACCGTCCTGATCCCATTGAAGAAACTTGTATCGGGGAACTTGTCGCGAGTTACCTCGGCAACCTTCCCAAACTCTTTGAGAGCAGCAGCGATGGTCGCGGAAGGCATCTCGTAGGGCWCGTCATAAACCTTGATGTATGCCCTTTTCTTTTCAACTGGGTCGAAGGACCCCAGCTCCGACTCAAATCTAAAATTCTTTGCGATGTCCATCATTATCTCACTTGATTTGAAGGAGACATGGTATTCCTCTCCTACTTTGACAATTTGCATTACATGCGCAGGATCACAGAATACACCATATTCCACCAGATCGCAGAACACCGAGTAATCCGGTATACAATTCCCTCGRAATTCTTGACCGTAACAGTTCTATCTCTTGGCACACCCATTTCGAGGTTCGCCACGTGTAGATTCAAACTAGCGGGGCAAACACAGGAAACCCACTTTACAAACCGACAGCAATGATCTTTGACCAATGCAGGATGCCAACTGATTGCAGTAAAACAGCCACCGGCACCGTGCTGAAATTATATTTTACTTTATGCGTATTCAATGTGGGATGACAAGAGTGATTCGCGCATGATCAGTTTGCCCCATTTATCTCAAAACTTATTTTTACGGAAATTTCTCCAAGAATTTTAACGGATTTGAGTTTCAAATAAGTGTTTCAAGTAAGTGTCGGCTCGAATCTTTATACCTGATAAAACACTCTCTCTCGTGTTTTAAACTATACTTAGAAGTTCTTTTTTCTATTTTGGTGCATTTTTTTTATTTTCATTGGGTCCGACGTTTTTGAAAACAGGTGTATCTTAAATAAAACAGTCGCAGAAACTCAAAATTAAGCTACAGCCAGTTGACGAAAAGTATTCTGACAATATGTATGGTAGCAGAAGTTTTGAATTTAGACCCTTTATTTTGGCTAAAACTACAGATTATGCTTGAATAAAGTGGCGTTTACACGAGCAATTTTTCCTTGACAAGTTTCTTGACAAGGAAAAATTGCCCGTGTGAATGGTCAACAAGTTTTCCTTGACAATTCTTCCTTGCCACATTTCCCTTGTTGTCCGTTTACACGAGCAATTTTTCCTTGACAAGTTTCTTGACAAGGAAAAATTGCCCGTGTGAATGGTCAACAAGTTTTCCTTKACAABTYTTCCWTGCCACATTTHCYTTGTTGTCCATTTACACGAGCAAATTTCGTCCTTGATAATTTTTCATTGTCAAGGAAAAATTGTCCATTTTACTCCAATTACACGAGCAATTGTTCCTTGTCAAGAAAAACTTGTCAAGGAAAAATTGCTCGTGTAAACGCCGCTTAATCTTTAGTAAACATAATTTCAAAGTATTGCAATCTGTTTTAGCGAGAAAAGAGCGATAATCACATGAAATTACCAATAATGCAAACATTGTATGCTGACGGTCAGAATTTTTTCAAAAGACTGTATTAAATTCTTAGGTTTCATTAGCAAMAAAATAGTTGKAGCTGGTCKATCGTATTATAAAAMATAATGACATTTGTTATCATGAACAATGYACCTTGTTGAGGCATATTTAAAGATTTTCTTCCACACCGCCGCTGTGTCATTTTGAGTTCTATGTGTTGTAACTGAGTACGCAGATGGCGTTGGCGGTTCGATGACAGCCTTCGCGTGCTCTCTTAAGGCAAYTATTACTCGCTAACAAAATAAAATATGTAAGAACAAAGTTAGCTACAAAGCATTAAAGCAATTTTGATAATAATTTAGTTTTTCAATTACTGGATTTTCAGAAACTAATTACTATTACAAATTTATCCACAATTGAAGAAAGTATTCCAAATAGTAATTCCAAATAGTAATGCCCGGTTCATTCGTCGAGCCAGCGTCGCGCTGAACCAAACAGTTTGAATTTAGCACATGAAAAGCTCAACGTATGAATCAATTGAGTTCGGAGCGACCGTAGCACGACAGTGRCACGGCAGMGYCAGTCRTGCTGCACGRCAAAAGCTCGACGCTATATCATACATCGAGCAATCGTCGTGTTATCGGATTTTTTCTTATGCTTTTGACTGCATTTGGATCGACGTATTAATCAACGCCGTACTGAATGTATTTTGGTCGATTGACTATTTTGTTCGGGGCGACGCTGGCTCCCCGTATGAACCGGGCCTAGCTCTGTAATAGTTCTCGTATCAATTCTGACATACTTTGAGGTAAAAGAGGAATTCCTTAAGCTCCCCTAAGTATTATGTTAGTGATYTAGCCAGCGTGCAGGTGTTCCTCGTTTTTTTGTTTTGTTTTCATTTTTATGTGAGTGTTTGTTGTTTTTGCAGCAATGAGTATATACGATGCACAAGTGTGTTTGCCTGGGCACATTTATACGTTTTTTTCAACAATAGAGTTGCGAAAGAGCCCATTGAATCCCTGCTGTTATCAAAGAAAGTTGAGGGTTACTTTGATTCTCTTTTTCGAGAAACCTTCGCTCATCTTACATCAGTCTAGTAGTCAAAAATCTTATTTTTCAATTAATAACGCGAGTTATTTTTAGAAATTTCCATTAAAGAACTATCGTGTATTAATGTCCACTCAGTCTTATTTGTCAAATTCTCTGCAGAAGAAACAATTCTGTTTCTTTTCATCCTTAGAGCTCCAAATTCAGGAAATACGGATTTCTAACGAAAAGCAAATAATGTACGTCCCAAAAGMATCGCGGGGGAACAAGTCTTAATATTCATATTGAAATCTGCTTAAAATGTCAAAGATAATTGATACATGCAMAATAATGTACCAACTGCATTGTTTGGTTGGGAAAGATTTTCAGAATGAGATAATTAAAAGAATAACCTGGCAAATTAGATTCAGAAATCTGAACATCTATGTATATGATACTTACTGAACTATCTTTAACATGAAGAAATCGAGCGTGGGACTTTAGAAGCTGAACAACAAAAAATAAAGTCAACTAACAAATTAATTATGTATCAGTAAATGATGACATTGGCTTACAGTAGCTTACATACTGGGCGAAAGACTGCCGCTATCTGAGTTCATGGTATTATCCCGTGCATGTGTGTTTGAATTACTATCTGAATCGTACCTCATCAACGTGGCCATCTTGTTTCAATTTAGACATCACTTTGATTTGGTTGGCATCTCTCTCAGCTCTGAAAAAAACATGCAACAAAACAATACATCAAACGATTAAATAAATCATTGTTTGAGACTAAAAATAGCAAAGTCTTTAGGCTCAGCTATGCCCAGTAGAAGCTGACCGCGAAATAGTAAGACAACCTCATCCTCAAGGCTTTTGCCTTTTCCTTTTTCGGCCGTTCAAATCAGTATGGATTTGAATTTTTTCTCTCTTTTGATTGGTTACTCATTTGTTGGGATTTTTTGTCCCGTAAAGTAATCCCGTAAATAATAAAAAAAAAAAAACGTGCAGCAGTCAATCATCATGTACTAGTAACAGTAAGTACTGTGAAGACAGGAACATTCGTGAGACGTGCAAAAGCAAAAAAGAGTGAGTCGCCAAAAGCTTTGTTTCATTTTTGCTTTKACATAAATTATTTTGCAACATTTCAAACAATGATATATATAGTGTAATAAAAACAAAATGACTAGCTGATGAGAACAAGAATATATGATGTTTTTGTACCTTTAATAAAGCCCTGCTACCGTACGTTCTCGATAGTAAGCACGAAATGATATGTTCTGCTTTTTTTTACTTATAATTATATTACTCACCAAAGAAATTATTGAAAAAATTAATTGTGATAAAGTGATTTTGTCAGATTTTGTAAATGTGCACGATGGAGTTCAAAGAAAAATAGGCTTAGCATTTAGCAAAGAGCGAGAGAGGCGCTATTTTACATAAAAGTTTAAACTTTTAAAAACTCTTGGTATACCCTTTTTTCAGCCATGTCAACTATATCCATGATTTGGTCGATTTCTCTTACTTTTTCTATATACAGCTGCTTTTGCATTGGTCTTCGACAAGCATTCATAGTTTTTTCATCTTGGTTTTAAAGCTTCCTAGAACCTCAGCTTTTCCTTGTTGGCAAAAAATTGAGTTGAAATGGTAGACTCGTTTTTTGGGGGCCCAAAATCTGCTAAACTGGAAAAACTTGACAAACCCTCGAAAAGTGTGACTAGATAGCTTATCCTTCTCTTTGATCCCCTCTTTGCTGAACTACTTTTTCCGTATGTTTATGCAAACACGGATCGGACGCTAATGAAATTGGAGTGAATCTTCCGGAGTGCATTAAAAAATGTTTGAAAATTAGCTTTTCAGAATTTTCAGAAAAGTTGAAAGTTACTCCTCGAAACCATACTGCGCCTGCATTCCGCGGTATTCCAAACTAAACACCCACTAAGAGTAGGTRTCACGTGACGGGCCGATGCCAGGCCTGTCTCTGTCCGCCATTTTGAAAAAGCGAGCAGAGAAGCCCTGGGAACGAGGTTGTCGGCTTCACTTGGGGTCATAACAAAGAGGATGTTTTTTTTAAAAAATGTGTTTGCACTCTATGATCAAAACACGATCCCTCCCTAGTACGCTTCTGACTGTAGATAAATTATTGTTACTTGTTCTTACATARCAACTGAGTGTATGCTTACCTAAGTTGGATAAAAGGTGTCCAGTTTGATATCTGTTTAAAAGTGTGAAGTACACCTTGACTTCTTATCTTAGCATCACCAAGTTCCTTAAGAAAAACAATCACTTCATTTATCAAATAAAAGAAGGCGGTAAAAGTTACTCTAGATTACCTATTGCTCTCCCACTGAATACCATTGCATTGACAATATTAGCACAAACCCTCAAACACTGGTTATATACCAGGTTGAWCGACAAGTAAATTACGAGTAGAATCTGTCGTACCACTTCCATGTATGAATGCTCATATACAT